AAGGGCTCGCGGAAGCGGCCGCCGGCAATGACAAACGGCCGCTTGATGGGGATGAAGCTGCTGGGGCAGTCGGCGCAGGTGCTGGCCGCCGAGGCGTTGTAGGAGCGCGTGAGGCTGGGCCAGATGTCAATGACCTTTTGGGTGAACTCCCTGATGACGGTGTCGTCGATGGACGCGAGGAACTGGGGGTCCGTCTTGAGCTGCGACTTGGGCACCTCTTGCAGCTCGTGGCCCGCGTCGGCAAAGTAGCTCGCCAGGAACGTGTTGAGCTCCGAGTTGTTGGCGATGGGCCGTTGGAGCTTGGAGAAGGCGCTTTGGATTTCTTCCAGAGGTTTGAGGGCCGGCCTGTTGGGGGGGGGGAGGGGCTTGAGAACTGGCACATGCGATATCAAGGCATGGATGGGGAGGTGGCTTACATGTCTACAAAGGTCTTGGAGTCGGCGAATGGCCGCGCGAGCTCAATCTCCTTGAGGAGATCGCCGTAGCAGTAGATTGGCGAGTCGCATGGAGCAATGACGGACCCGTTGATGTAGATTGCCGTGACGGCCGGCGCTGCTGCCAGGACGGCGGCGAGACGCCCCAGGTTTGTCATGATGCCCGGGTATGTTTTCCTATGCCAAGGTCAAGAAGCGGAAAGCTTTGGTCCTTTCAAGCGGGTTTCACGTCTTGAGCAATGGGCCGGCTTGTTCTGAGGTGGTAGAGAAGATCCCAAGGCACCGGGTCCTCGAATCGAGTTCGGGAAACACCAGCACGCCATTTTATATCCCGAACCCCTCCAGTTAGCCCTCGACATGGCCCATGCAAAGATGGGAGGGCAATGAGAACCGACGACAACATGAGACACGTGATTATCTCTGCCATGCTGCTCGCCAAACGAAACGCTGCGAGTTCAGTTCGTCTGGGGTGACGAAGGCCAAGAGACATGGAGGCAGTCAAAGTGTGGAGTTAGCCCAATGGCCATCCATGGATGGACATGCGGCTCATTCATATGGACATTCTCCGTACATCCATGCTTGGCTAATGCTTGTCGGGGCCTGCTGGGCGGCGCTATTAGGAGGTTAATTGCGAGGGTAGCTTGCCGACGAACGTTGGCCCAGTGATGTGGGTATCTCGGAGCCCGCCCGCCGTCCTTTGGGTTCGCTCACATGCAGAGCGAATGACTCGTCGGCGTTGTTTGTCGCGGGAGAGGAGGAGCTTCAGCTGCCTTGTTGGGCTGAAGGTTGATGGTTGAACGGGACAGGCATGTTTCGTGCCATGGACGCGTGTTCCTTGCCGCAGCCACAGGTGGCGGAAGCATTGATAACATCGAACACGCTGTGCATATTGAGGAACAACTTAATCTAACTGTCAATCTAAACTAGATCAGGTGGGCTACCAATAAACTTCTCTCCGGCTCCCTCCCCTTGGGTATTCTGCTACGTGGCTACCGACTCCAGGCCATCCCTGGTTTGTTCTAGATGCATGATGGGCTTTTCTTTTTCTCCTAGGGCCCGTGGTAGAGCCGTTGTTGACACGTCCATCTCGAAAGTTGTCGATACGTTATGTTGTATCATCGACCGTTGCTTAAAGCCATCATCCCCTGATTAAGCAGTGGTCATCAACACAGTGATGATGACCCTTTTCCCAAGTCTCTATATGCAACGGTCCTAATTCAGCCAGACCTTTTCACCTCGTGAGTTTCTAGAAAAAAAAGAACACGGGAGCACCGTGTCCACCACTCCGTCCCCTCCTCCCCTCCTCCCCTCCCCCAGCAACCGGATTCATGTTACCAATTCCAAACCCCAACTGTCAACAAGACACAAACAGTGCGGTAATAAAGGAGAGAGGGGGGGAAGCACCAAAAAGCCCCGGCCGCATAAATCCACAAAAGACGCCAAACCCACAGTATGGCCGTGAGCCAAGAGCCCGAGCGGCGCGGTTTGCCCAAGTCTGCTTAGTCCTTCAACAGCGGCCACGAGGCCATCGAAATCTTCAAGGCAGATCCACACGCTACATGGAGCAGAGGCCGAGCGGAAAAGCTGGGGTGCCCCCAGACCCGATAATGCGCGGCATTGGCTGCCAAGCGGGCGTCCGGGGTAGGGTGCGTACCGGAATGTCCACTGCCGGGCCGATTGGCTTTCTGCATTGATGACGATACTGAGGTCTCTTTGCGCCGTCGATTGCTGTTTGGGGCGAGGCCTTCTTGTTGGTCGAGTATGACCGCCGGGGGAGAGGTTCCGTCGAGTCTGGCGGTTTTCAACGCGCCGTTTTTCTTTTCAAGACGGACTTTGGTGGCTGAAGGAGCCGGTGACGAAACTACGCCGCCGCTGCGACCTTCTTGGCAGAATGGGCTGGATACTGACGGGCGACGGGCAGCAGCTGAGCCAGAGAAGGCTGCTGGATATAGTTGCCGTAGTATAACAGGGTGGCGGGAAGAAGAGCATCGCCCCCGTGGTAGCAAACCCGGTTCACCAAAAGGGCTGAACCCAGCGCGCTCCAAATCTCTCATCTCGAAATCGGGCAGGACTCTCATTTCATCTCGCTTGGTACAGGGCACGAGATCAAGGCCCAATCACCGGCAAGCGCGATTGCACATTGTGGTCGCCTTGCCGGGGAATTTGGGTGACGAGATTCAGATCCCCACTGATAACGGCAGATTCTTTTTGCTTTGATGAGCGTGGCATACGCTCGCCGTGTATGAAACGTTGCCAGCATCCCGCCGGCCCCTTGCAATATTGCAGCAGGCCCTTTTGGTCGTGAGCGGGAAAAAGGTTCAGACAATCGGGCGCGGGCGTCTTTCTACTCGTCCATGATTGTAGCACTGATGACCTCGTCAATTTTGTCATGGGCGACAGGCGGGAGTAGCGCATCTTGTATCGCCGTCCGGATGTAGATGTTGCACGTGGCGAGCATGCCACGGGTGCCTCGTGAGACGTGGACGACAAACGGCACCAACCGATCATCTGTAGCCAACGGCACAGAGGGACTTACTCGCAAGACTAGAAGCGAGAAGCAAAGGCAAACGCCATGGCCACGGCCTCGCGGTTCCGCCGACGTCCCGCGACTCTGGGCCCCGATATCAACGCCCTCTCTCACAAGGAAAACACAAGCGGTACGAGTGAAGGTCTGCAGAACCATTTCGGCAATCACCGGCTGTTGTTATTGGGCGCCACGCCAATTCGAGCAGACAGAGGCACTGAATCAGGCCACGAACAAGCGCGATTGTCGATCCTACACGGTTGTAGCTCGCAGTCGACCTCAACACTCCATTTAACCGCCCCGACTCGTTGCCACAAACGGCTCTGGCGGCTAAAAACCTCTGCCGATCGGTAGTCGTGGTATTATTGTCGCTACTGTATGATTTCTCCCCGCCATTGTTGCCGTGATGACGACCTGCTCGGTGGCATTCGCCGCCGTCTATTCGCACGGGCAAAATTGGCGTACATGTACTCCGTACAGCGGGCGATATCCCCCATGCTGCGATGCTACTTCCCTCCGGTGTAGAAATCATGACCTGAGTCTTCAGAGAGAGGAGAAAACTACCCGACGCCTTGACGAGGGTTCCGTTGAGGCCGGGGCACGGCGAGTCAGAGCCGTCGCGTTTGGGCCCCGTCAAAGCTGGCCGTCTATGTGACCCTCGCCGATGGCTTGCCGCCACGCAACTGATTGGCAGCGGACAATGGGGGGAAGCATGTGGTGATGGAGATGTGGCGCCGCATCTGGCGGCCAGTCTCGTGCCTGCCCTGGCCCAAGGTGCCGGTCTCCCCTGAGTCCTGTCGAAACAGGCAGTGACTATTCTCTTTTTTCGAAACCACGAGTCAGGTTGTTAACCTTGGGACGGCGTAGAAAAAAAGGCATGTATTGCCCGGTTGTAGAGCCAAGGCCAAGTTGACTATATCGTCTCGATATAAGCCGCGTTTCGCATAGTAAATAGTGTATAGAGACGGATGCTTCCGTAAATCGGGGGCCACCCAAGCGAAAGAGAATCAAAATTTTGTCTGAATCGTCTCAACTACATGCCCTAGTTTTTCTCATTGTCTCTTTTTTTTTCTCGCGCAAACACATTTACGGGGCACATGTCCTGTATTGTGTTATTCATGTGCTGCCACACGACCCAATTTGCTCAACACCAACTCACACGAGGCGCCGCCATTCTGGCCCACTCCCGAGGAGCCTTCGTTCCTGTGCCTGAGTGTGAACTCTCGGTGAACCTATCAAGTCGTCCCAGATACATTTCGAGGAACTCATCCAGGTGTATATTCCACAAGTCTTCAGAAATGCCGCACTTGTACTTGGCCGGCGTCAGCCACGGCTTGCCCCCCCTTTTATCGGCAAGAAGCATCGAGGAGGACTTTATGCAAAGTCTGGTTCCTCGAAAAGAAGTCTTTTCGTGTATATAAATGAACGCTCACCTCCGCTGTTTTGCTCTTCTCTTGTTTCCTTTTCCTGTAACTTGGTTAAACAAGCTGGACTACTTTCCTTCAACTTCTAAACTCTTTATTTTTCCTTCCTTTTATACTTTAGTGTATATATTTATTCTTCTTACCTTCTCACACATACTTTTATATTCCCTTTAAAAACCAAAATGTTTGGAAACATTGCTCTCGCATCCGCTTGCCTTGCGGCCGTCGTAGCAGGTCTACCGGCCACCAAGCGCGGCATCCAAGACACATACACCTACTACCAGGGCGACGGGTCCGTCGGCGCCGGATGGCCGTCGATGGACTCGTGGGGCTCCTGGGACGACCTCTGGAAGGCCAACTCGGCGCTCATGGACAAGACCTGCAGCTGGAACGGCTGGGGCAACGACGACTCGAGCGACGAGATCGCCGCCGTGGGCAGCGCCATCCAGGACGTCGCCCAGCAGACTGGCGTCGACGACCGCTTCATCCTGGCCGTCTTGATGCAGGAGAGCAAGGGCTGCGTCCGCGCCCCTACCACCAACAACGGCGTCGTGAACCCGGGCCTCATGCAGTCTCACAACGGCGCCGGCTCCTGTGCCGGCGTCGACCCCTGCCCCAGCAGCCAGATCACCCAGATGGTCCACGACGGCGTGGCCGGCACCGACTCTGGCGATGGTCTCCAGCAGCTGCTTGAAAAGGCTCGCGGGGCTGTCAGCGGCGGCAGCGACAGCCAAGTCTACTACGCCGCTGCCCGTCTGTATAACAGCGGCTCGGCCAACTATGCCAACCTCGACCTTGGCATGGGAAGCACGGCTTGCTATGCTTCCGACATTGCTAACCGCCTGACTGGCTGGACTCTGGCTACTACTGGCTGCCACTGAGGAACTGGTCTGACAAAAAGGCGCTTGACGCTGTCTTGATGGATATGGCGGTGTACTGAGTCTCGGGGGTATTTCAATCTTTTTCATGTATTCTAAACTTACATATTTTCACAACCCCCATGTACATGTCAAGCAATATACCAAGTCTTTCGTTGACAAATCATCTTGACCTTGTTGTTTCCTCGTCCATGGTACATGAGGTACAGTATCCTTTTGCATGACTAGTACCCTTATAAACCGTAAAGTGGGCATATAAAACTGTTGTAATCCACATTTAAATCTGTTCGTGACCAATGCCTAGCCTGTTGGTGCGCCTGGGTGGGGGATTTTCGGAGGGTTCGTTTGTAAACCCGGTAAGAGGGCCAGATTGTTGACGTGATGAATAAATCTCTTCCAGGTACCAGCTTAATGTTTACTGAGGGTGTGATTCCCGGAATTGGGGTCAAATAATTGAGGTCAACTTTTCGACCCTGGTTAGTACATGCTCCACTAATTTAAAGTGGGAATATTACTTTGTACCGTTTCACAGTGATTTTTTTAGGCATCGCGATAATAAATTTAGCTTTTATTGCCCCGTAAACTAAAAATCATGTAATAACTATAATAGTAGTAAAGGTACTAGGCTAGAAAGAAGTTAAAAAGGCTCTTCTAAATTATAGGGAGTTTATAGGGCCGGGTTAGTTAACTAATATATTAAAAACGATAAAATAAATAAAGAAGAATCTAATAAATACTATAATATAGAATTTACTTGATTTTAGCCTAGTAAAGAATACGTGGATTAATTTAAACTTTAGCGATAATTTAAGGTGATTTTAAAGCTGTAAGATTATTATAATTATTGAAAATTAGTAGGCTAGCTAGTAATTTTATCACCTACTAGTGCCTTTTTATTCTTTTAATAATAATAATACTATTATAACCACTAATTTTATTATTTCTTACTTATTTACATTATTAGAAGAAGTTAAATTTTACTACTAAAGCCATTTTACGATATTTTCACGTAAATCCTTTACTAAAAATGCCTTAACCACTTTATTTACCCGCTTATAAGCTTTTAAAAGTATTAAATACTTGTTATCTTTAAGAGCTATAATTTCTGCCTCCTTAAATATCGTAGATTTAACGCTATTTAGCGTAATAAAGTTAAATAAACCTATTATAGCATAAATTAATCGAATTTAATTTAGGTACTAATACTTTACCACGCTATATTAGATTACCTTTTATTTACGTTTCGCTTTTTTGAATTACTATTTAACCTATACACGAAGCTACGAGTAATAATAGTTATACAGCTCTTTTTCCGTTATTAGCCGGTAGTTTTCCTCTTTAAAATCCTAAAAATAATACCGCTCGCCTTTAAAAGGCGTTAATATACCTTTTTTAAGGCTAAAGCTAGTATTATTAAGGTAAAACCTTCATTTAAGTCTAGCGCTTATATTATGCTTAATTATGCGTCGAATTGAGGTCAAAAGATTGACCCCAATTCCGGGAATCACACCCTGAGATGCGCACCGTAGCAAAGCCAGCCAAAGTATTCTGCCAATTAAAAGTGTGGGTACTTCGGTGCTCGCTCGCCCAAGCCAATATAGTGTTGGTAGATGCTGCTCGCATCAAGTCGGCTCACGAGTTGATCCATGGATCTTGGGCAAGTTGCTTCGCCGTCTTTCTATCCTCGGGGCGCCACTGCAGCATCCCTCTCACCAAGCTGAGAAATCCTTCCTTGTTCTCGCCTTCGAGGAACACCTCACAGCTTTCGAGGCTTAGGCCCGATGGAATCTGGACATCCGCAATCCATTTTCCTAGTCAAAGACAGAATTTTAGCATGCCAACATGGAGAATGCATCCGGCTCACACACTCAGCTTACCATCTTCTGTAAAGAACTCACGGCTTCGCTTGCCTCTGTTTAGCAAATCTAGGGGCGGCGGGCCAAGCACCCCAATCACTTCAGCCAAGTGAGCGCGTGTTGAATAGCTTTGGCTTTCGGGATCCCTCCCGTGAAAGAGGTGTCTGCCTTCGAATAGATCCCATATCTAATGCCGCGACGTAAGCCACAGTTGTACATGTTCCACGGCCGGACAGAGAGACGCTTAGCTACGTACCATAACACCAACGTTCCAGATATCGACGGGATAGCTCCACTCAGCCATGAGCATTACCTCGGGAGACCGATATACTGCAGGCTGTGCGTCGTGATTACGCTTCATGTCTCCCCGAACGGCCTCGCCAAAGTCACTCAATACCGGTCCGCCGAATCGCCGCGGTAGGTCGAACGACCGAGATGCATAAATTGTCAATTCACCAAGGGATTTTCGGGGTGAAGGGTGAGTAAGCTCGGCATTTGTGAAGGCTTCCAATATGGCCTGGTCTTGAATGTCTTGGAGAATATTGTCTGCTTTTATATCTGCAATGGCTTGATATGTCAGGGCTCTGTTCATTTGCCAAGGGTGGGTTACTGGGAAGACTTGCCTGTATGTACAAGCTTGCACTCGGAATGAAGGTAGTCCAAAGCCGAGAAGAGGTGCCTCAGCCCGGCCTTTAGGAGAGGTTCGGTGAAGCGCCCCGTGGGATTGCGGCGAAGTAGATGCTTCCAACTTTCCCACATTGGACGTTGGACAAGGCAGTAATGGTCACCTCCTGGGCGGTGAAGCTGGAATATGTCAAGCGCGGCTCGGACATGGCGGTAGCCCGGATGTGATGGATTTGCCTTGCCAAGGGTCTCTAGGACTTGAAACTCTTCTTGATTCCCCCTATCCCTGGTGTAGACTTTCAAAGCAACATGCCCATGGGTTCTGTTTGCGGACTGTTAGATTTGAGATTAGAAGAGAGCCTCGAGGCCTGAGGACGTACATGAGGTTCCGGGCTAACCATACAGTCGACGTGGTACCAAAGCCCAGTTTCCCAATGACTTGATACCTGGAGGCAAGGACATCGCCTATATTGATGGGATAATACTGGTTGGCTGCGAATCCATCAAGCTGCTCCTCCTCCAACAAGACTGGGTCTTGGACAAGGTCAAAACCAGAAGTGGGAAAACGCAAAGGGACCAGCGGCGCTCTGCGTGTCCAGGCCCTGGCCCATTTCAAGAGGGATGCCATGTGCGACGTTACTGACGATGGATGAGGTTGATCCGAAGCAGGCACACTGTTACTTGTGATGAATGTGTTTTCACGCCTAAGCTTGAACAATGGCCACGTACCCCGTTGATATTGATGATATTTGACACTGGCTCAAGTTCCCTGTGTCCTGTGTGGATGGGGTCGTGTCAAGGCGCCCGAGAGCTGTGGTGCAAAAGGACCAGTTGACCCACTGAGATGCCCCTACCCAATTATATCCCGCCCCGAACCCGTACCCGCGCGCCACATCAAATGGAAACCGACTTTTTTCCCTCCTCCCACGGCATTGGATCCCCTCAGAGCAGTTAAGGCTCCAACGAGGTCACGGGACCCACAATACCTGGTTACCTCAAGTGACTTTGGTGACAGACCAAATCCGGCCACACTAAAACCCCCTACAACCCGTATTAGAGGTCTTTAACGGCGAATTTTTAATAAATGACGAAAATAGCACACGTGAGCAGGTAGCTGATAACACCTGCCGGCCTAATTACCCACTTATTAAGGCTCGTAGGCCGAGATTTCAACCTTTTTAACCTTCATATCGCGATGCCCTCAATCGCCGCCGGGCAGCTCGTTAATCGCGTTAAGGCTGCGAGACTTCCAATGTAGCCCTTTATAACTCGAAGGAATGTTAGTACTTTTTTTCATAGTGTAAATTATTAGGAGATCTATGTACCACTAAAATGTGGGCTTTTAATTGGCTATAATCCTTGTCCGTGACCTCGTTGGAGCCTTAACTGCTCTGAGGGGCTATCATAGAAGGTCGCTGTGCTCTTGCCGCCGAGGTGGTTGGTCCTCGAATCTGCCCAAGGAGTCCACGACCAACACAATCAGGCAACAATGTTCTTAGATCAGTCCAATGGGCTCCGTACAATCATACATAAATACCTGATCATCTAATCTCGTCGTGTTCATCATGTCAGTTACGTCTCCTAGCTCCTCGCTACCTCAAAACGCCCGCCTCTCTCTGTATCCTGCATCATGTCTCGATTCTTTAGCACCACCGCTAGGGCGTTGGTACGTTTTATCGCCTTCAAAGTCGAGGACCTGCCGCAGCCATACAACAACGCCGTCAAGAAGTTTACTTCAAGAGGTGGGAGTGCCGAACAGGTAAGCCCGTTCATCGACACGTCGGAAGCTCTGAACACTGAACACCTGGCGCAATATCTCATGGCCAATTCCAGAAACTCGGCACTCTGCACGAGGTTTACATCAAGTAAGCTCTGTATTGATAAACATGGCTAGCTCCAACTTTCCACCCCGCTGACTACCAGTAGGTCTAGGAACGGATACCCAGTTCATCAGTCTAGCTACAACCCGGAAGACAAAGAATTCATCATCAGTGCCAAAATTACGGGGTCCAAGGACACAAAGACCTGCCACATCTACCAAGACGGCACTGGTACCATTAAGAAAGGCGACGATAGGTGTTAAGGTCAGATACATATTTCACGGACTGTTTATCCCACGGCTGAGCTAGGTGGACCGGGATTCGAAGCAACGAGCGAAAGCCAGGGGTTGGGAGCGTTCATTTGTAGGACTGAAGATATACTCCGGCAAGCCTCTCATATGAGGAAGGGGAAACCATACTTTGTATCTCTATTCGAACGGCGTAAATATGTGTGAATGGTGCACTATGGTAAGGAGAAACATCATTGTAGGCATCTTTCTGCCTTTCGATATAGATTTCCGCTCATACAGCCGCCAATTTTAACCGACTACCACAGCCACGAGAGCCATGCTCGCACGCCAAACTCGTGGATATGCACCTTTAGTTTTTCTTCACGCTCAACCAAACAGCTTGTACAGTGTACCGCCGGGCTCAAATAAACGAGAGGAATGACCACCACACTGAGTATTCCACAAGCTACACATTTTCGCATGTTCGTTGCCTGGGCCCGGGGTTGATAAGCCCCTACGCACGATGCTGCATATTGAATATCGAGGAAGCTACCCAAACGTGGATACGTTTACAGGTCATACCCGCGGTGTTTAATCAACTTCAATGACATCCCCCGGCACTGTAATCAAATTAAACTTGTCATCAACGTAATACCACCTGTCATACGGCGCGGGCCTGGCTGCTGGCGGCAAAACGTTGGACTTTGCCGGAATCTCGAACTTCTTGGTCGCATCCTCGGGCTTGACATAGGTCTTGCAAGCACGAGGGTTCGTAGTCTGCCAGATGTTGATCTTGCCGCGGTCCTCCTTGCCGAGAACAAGATCGCTCCAATGCTGGTGACTTTCGGCAAGTTTGGCGTTCATGGTGCCAGCATCGACGTATTTGTTACCGACGATGGGGTTGAGACCCTTACCACGAGCGACTTTGTAATACTTTTAGGTGTTAGTTAAACAGTGTCCGGGGGGAGCGGAGAAGGATATGACTTGCAATAAACCAGTCACGGAAGGAGTTGCTGAGGCCGGGTCGGTACTTGTCCAGTTCTTCAACGGCTAAAACCACTTAGATGTGCGCTTTTGAACAGTTTGATAGCGACGACGGGCGACTTACAGCTGACGAGGCTGGCGAGAGGATCTTTGATGTCAATAGCAATGACCTTCCAGTCCGTCGTGTTATCCTGTTTTTTGGTCCTCCTTAGCTGACGGCTGTTTTTCGAATATTTCCACATACCGCGGACGACATACGTCAATCATGGCAAGCCCCCCCAGAACTTTGACCTGCTTGACCTCACCCGTGTATCCTGGCCTGGCCGCTGTCAGCAACAGAGTCGCAAAACGGTTTGCAAATACGCTCAACCTACGAAATGGAGCTGACGTCAAAAAGATCGATTGGGTCATTGTCTCCCACAAGGCCGGTATAGTTGTCCTTGACATTCTTGTTCTCCCACGTCTGTGGAATCGACCCATACAAGAAGGGGTACGTCTTGTGCGGCCAGAAACTAGCCACAAACCGGGGCTTCTTCTTTGAGGTATCGTGGAAGAGAGGGTCTGTCGACGTTTAGCAAAAGTCTTTCCAACCCCAGAACTACATTGACTACAACGCACTCAGAGGCTCGTTGCGCTGCGTTTCAATCTTGCCGTCGGTCCATCGGGGAATCTCAACCACGAAGTTAATGACCGGCCCGGGCTTGTTATCCGGGTACAAAGGCACATCGTGCCAGGGCGAGACGGGATTCCCATTCTCCTCCAGCCAGACTCGCCAGTCCTTTTTCCAACAGCGTCAACTCATTGCCTCAATAATGCACGTGAAGACGTGAATTCTGCGCGAAGCGACTCACAATTGTGTTCCTAGCGCCAACCTCCCGGAGTGTATACGAGCCGTTATTCTGGGCAACAGCACCGACTGCGCTCAGAGGCACGAGGACCGCTTGAACCAGTTTCAAGACATACATTCTGGGCAGTGCTACAACAAAGGCAGGCAGAGCAATAGTGTGCTCGCTCACCCACACGCCATGCAACAGGGGAATGCTTCTTTAATACCATCGCATCTGCACCTCCACAAGTGGACGCCGGATCACACGGTTTGAGCGCATGAAACTACAGGCAAAATATTTCCAGGTCAGCTCAATGCGCTGCGATATAAACTTTTATGCGAGTTATCAATCTAGAGCCGCAAGCTAATGCAATGACTTGCTGCGCCCCCTGTCAATGATCTGCCTTGGTGCCAGTGAGCTCAAGGGTCGTGGCCCACGTGGGTCTTGGCAGTTTGAAGAAGAAACAGGTTTGAGGGCATACATAGTAGGACCGGGGCCCTCCGCCGAGGCACGCTGTGAAGTGATTTGAGGGAGTCGTAAGGCTATTTCTGAGCCTCCCGGTTGCGGATATTCAGTCGACTCTGAGTCCAGAATACACAACAATAGCAGAAGCGGTCTGAGGAGTTGTGGCAAACGCAAAATAAATAAGTTGAGGCAAATGAACGGGGCGGATTTCATTGATACTATAGACCCGGCGGACGTGGCTTAAGCGAAGATGGTGTGGATGAGAAAGGAAATAAAGGTGGAGGCGTTGATGAGTCCGATGATGAAAGGGTGCGTCTAGGTGACATCTGATTACGACCATCACCTCTTCACACGGCAATATTGTCCATAGTACTAAGGAGAAAAAATAATAAGAGTGACAGGGGTATCCGATTCGACTCGATCATGTACATATACATACTCCGTACATACGGAGTACATGCATATAAACCCACCCTTCTCCTCGGCTCTCCCATCTACGTCGCCTTCGCACCACTCAGCTGAGGCGGCGATCTGACCTGGTCATCAATCTTCTCCACAATACAGGCCGTTCCGTATGCCGCCGTCTGCGCGAACCCGCCCATGTCACCAGCATCGAATCGCAAGCAAATAATAGCATTTCCGCCTCGGCGCTTGCATTCGTCCACCACACGGCTTATAGAGTCATTTCGACACGAGTACAGCATCGAGGTGAACCATTGAAGTTCGCCACCAGCAAAGCTCTTGAAGACCATGCCGAGACTGGCGGCGATATTCCGACTGCGGACAGTGATTCCATAGACGGCGCCAAGAACTTGAACAATTCGGTATCCAGGGAGATCCATCATAGCTATACAGGTACGTCAGTCACATTGTGGTCGATTTGTCGTGTGCCCCCTCAGAGGGAGACCTACTTGTCGTAATGACGCCTTCCGTTTCGGTGAAGCAGTGAAGGTCGGAGATCTGAGGGGGGATGTTGGCAACCTCCTCGGCCTGCTTTTCTTTGTGTCCAGCCATTTCAAAGTTTGCTAAATTATAATATACGCGTGGCTGTGATGGATTTGGATGAGTGGCCGAGAAGATTCGTTGTCCCAGTGGTTGGTCGTGTATTGTGAGTAGAGAGATTATAGGAAAATGTGCCACGCTAGGAAGGATATGAATTTGAAGAAGAAAAATCCAAAAAGCCGAGCAGCGAACAGCTCTCTTATTTATATACTGAAAGATAAATTGGCAAGTGCAGTCGTCATAAGGGTTGTCATCCTCGTAGCATCTTGCCGTTTCAGTCAAGTCGTGGCTGACAGCGAGCATCTTGTTAAAGCGTCGAGACCAATGGGCAATTACTCCGTAATGGACGACAAATCAGTCAACTACAGTCCAGCTGTGGCGGCGGTGGCCATCTGGCTGTTGATACCGTTTGCAACAGGCGTTGAGATGGCTCTGTGAGGCTCTTTTGACATGTTTCGTTGAGGCTGAGCTCACGTATTCGTCGTATCAAGGCGACACGGCACCTGTGAGCCACACGAGTGGGGTCGGCGCTGGCTCTCAACCAAGTCAGCCAACCGAAAACCGAGGAATGGACTCAATGGAGTGTAACTAAGTTATTTGATAACTTACTTGCCTGTTTTGACGCCGAGCCCGTTCGGCAACCCATGCAGTGGCTCGGTCAATACTGCTCGGCACATAGAAACAGAACCGAGAAATTTAAAGCAGACGTCGGCTGTGCAATCCACTGTACCCCCCGACGAGTTGATCCGTAGACTAGTGTTTGAACCGCACAGCCTTGGCCCAAGTTCACCGGTTTCAGTTGCAATCCCTTCCTGGTCAGGACGACTAGGCGCTCTTTGCTGTGTCTTCTATGATGACCCTGTATCGAGGCGAGGCGACATCAATTGGGTTGGTTGCTTACCAACTGGGCTTGTCAACTCTAGTTCTTGCTTATTCGCCAGGTGGCTGGTGATCTAAGACATCATGAGCGCCTCTGGATGAAGCTTGCTTGAACCATGTAATATTGGTTGGTCGTCGTTGTTCCAACAGAGTCAATTAGCATCTATAGGCACTGAGACTTCGAAATGTGAATCGCGCCCATACTGAGGGTTCGGTAACAATGCCCAGTCCGATATTCCCACGCACAAACTAGGCCATGGAGCCATGGACCGATTCTTGACTGCTCAAACGCCAAGTGTCGTGCCGACTCCCTCAGTCTACCACCGCTAGTTCTCCGAACGCATTCTCAAGGACATGTCATTAACCTGCAGACAAATGATTAGACACGCACAACCAGCGTCCAAGGTCCGATCAAGTAGCGGGCCATACAGCGTTGCCAGCAACCCTGTAACCTGACATCTTCAGACCCTGGTTGGGTTGGTGGTATCCTGGGCAAAAGTGTCACCATCCCTACCAATCAATCGCCAACAGCCTCAGTTTTTTCAGCACCATCTAACGGATGTATCAGCCAAAGACTCACCGCCTATGGTGTATTTCAAATACAATATTACCCTCATTCGTCATAGTCCTCGGGATGAATTTTTCAAGGCGACCAGATAACACACATGCGTTGTTTGCCTTGTTCCCAACCCGATATGTCCGGACCTGAAAATATTGATGGATTTCTTATCATGGGGTTGAAGATGGGCACAGATGATATGGACCAAATGTACGGAAGAGACAGGCTTGATGTCGCTGACACCCGCGGCATTCCGTGCGTCACATATTGTGCCTATGCCAACTTCACCTCCCCCGTGTCCAGTCGCCAAGGCAGTTTCTGGATATCGACATATTTATTGCCTTTCTTTGTCATTGCGGGCTGCTTGCCTTTTCATTTTTTTTTTGCGCGGCAAGGGAATTTTCGGTAATAGTGGCTACCTTGTTGCAGGGCTTCGTTGCCCGCATGACAGAATTGGCGTCAATGTCTATCAAACATTGAACGAGGAGCGATGGGCAGAACGCTGCGTTGTCAACACGTGGAGAGAACGGGCAACGACGAGGTACCGGGCCGTGGCGCTGGAGCTGGAGCTGGAGCTGGTCTGCGGGATGGAACTGTGTGGTCGGAATTCCCAACCGTACGGAGGAGTACGTGCACGCAAAGTGTCTGGTCAACTGGTGTTTGCCGCATGCAAGAGATCAAAATGGGGAGGGCTACTCCGTACCCTCGCTCATGTTCCTGTCAGTGCCCAACCCACCACTTTCGCCCGAAGTGAGGGCACCACCTTGATGCCAGCGGGGTGCTCCTTCCTTCCCGCATGGTGGCGTCGCCCGTTTGTACCGTACATCGCGTACATCTACTCCTTACTCCATACTTCAGATGTCTTCATGGGCTGGCCCCAACCAGAGCAACTCGATGGCCTCCTTTGCGTCCACGCATGCCCATGTTTTGCCTCTTTACATGTCCCAATCTCACACAGTCTTCATTTCATGTAAATTGATTTGCTCTGCGCGTCCGCAACGATAAAACGACTGCAACTTCTATGCCGACCACGATGGACAGGATACACTTGGAAATCAACCAGACCTGTGGGTAGCTCGTCTTCCACAGCCCAGGTAGCAAGCTCCATGGTGCTGCTGCTGCTTCTTCTTCGTCTGCTTCTGCTTGTCCATGCCGTCCCCCAATGTTTCTTCCCCCGGAGGCAGAGGGTAGTGGCGTCATTCGTCACTCTCGTCACGGCAATGCAAGAGGTCGTGGAAAGGAGGCTACGCGGCACCGACGATTTGGCGGCTCCACTTGTACCGAGAGGCTCTTTCTCCATGTGTGCTGGCTGGGTCCTTTAGCAGCTCAAAGCAGCAAGCACTTGAGGTGCTTAACCAGCAGTGTGGTAGTTGGGGGGTGCCTGATGGAGGTCGAGGGTGGGCAAAGAAGGCTTTGGACCAGCATATTAAAGGGACAACATTTTCTGTGGCCCCGCGGGCGCCCCTCTCCCACTCAAGACAGCTTCTCAAAAGCTTGGATCGACAGGTCTTTTTTTTGGCTTTTTTTTTATTCTTCTATCGTTTCCGAATGGACCATCGTTTCCAGCATTGCTAGCCGACGGCCACAAGCAACTTAATATACCACCAGCCCTACTGTCACCACTGCCTCCACTTGGCCCCGTCCCATCTTGCCACACCAGTGACGATGACCAACCAAGACCATGGATCCCTCTTGAACAACCAAGAAGACATACTTGCCGGTCTCGAGATCAATCCGGCTTCTGCTACATATCACGCTGAGGACCATTGCAACTGCTTCGACTACTATACTCCACATAAGTGAGTAGTCCGTCAACGGCAAGGCTATGAGCGCCACTCCCGCCTATCTCCTAACACTTGTATTAGTGTTTCCCAAACACAATTTTCCTCAAATTATGCCTTGAGCTTGCCACAACACGACCAAATCAGGGCACGCCTGGCACAAACCCAGCAGTTAACCAACAACCTTACTCAAGTATTTCCCAATGACGTTCACACCACATCCTACGAACACCAAGACACCCAATCGGCACTGTCTGCCAATCAACCTTCGCGTCTTGAACAAGTCTATAATGAAAACAATATTGACCTGCCAATTCAAGCTGCGCAGGAAGGGCCGGCTGTTGGAGAGGCAGTAATTGGTAACATTGGGGCACCATTTGATGCCAACTTATTGCAGTACAATCCGGCTTTCGGTGTCCCACCCAACAATGGACACGAAAGTTCAAACTCGCATCTGAACGTGCTCGCAACTCCCTTTTATCCCCCTTCCTATGCAGAAAATGGGCCCACTGACTCAGCTGAACAGGATAAGACATCCGAAGCGACGGATGGGCCTCTGCAGAACATAGAAAGAGATGTAGAGTATCGCCCTTCATCGGGTGACTTTTCCTGGCAATGGGTCCCATACCCGCATAGTAATAATAATGACGGAAGTATAGATGAGATTATAATTGCCTCCCCCTACAACAATCATTTTGCACTGTCAGGATTTACCTCTACATCACAATACCCTCAACTTTACAGAGATAAGCTAGCACCTATGTCCAGCTCTCCACAGACTTACAATGCTCCATATACTCAATATATTGACAACGGCACGGCATTTACAGGCGGAATGCTCTATAGCCCGCAACCAACTACCGCGCCATCTCAAGTGTCTACATCCATCAGTGGCGCTGGGTCTCAACATGAATATTCCTCGTCCAGCCTCACTCCTTCATCATCCGTTTGGCAGTCGCGCAGCATTCCTTCGAGAACAACAGGGTGGGGTCGCAGACGAGCACCATCACTATCTCGCTCAATTTCCGCCCAAACCAGTTTCAGTCACGAATCAAATGGCTCAGGACCATCCAGGAGGGGTAAGCGAAACGGCCCAATGGACCCAAAGAGAAACCGGCAAGCACAGGAAACCAGGACTCAGAAGTCCGTCTGTGCGGACTGTAAATTGCGCAAAGTAGCTGTTTGTCTCTCTTCTCTTTTCATTGTCGAAATAATCCCTACAACGAACTAACAGCCTATGGGCAGTGCAGCAAAACCGAAGCTCTTGAGATATGCGAAGTATGCAAGAAGAGGGGGTTGCCATGCGTTAAACATTTCTTCTTCCACGATCTGAATACACTGCCAGAATATCAATTTGGTACGTCATTTCGATACAGATTTTTGAAAAGTACCTATCAACATGTTACTCACAACAATGTAGGACTGTTTCTGATCAATTCGGCATTGGTGCCAGACATCATCAAACCCTTGTTGACTCAGAAGATAGACTTCGCAAGAAGTCTTGACTACCTGGATCACTTCAGCCAATTTTGTAAGATTCGCTTGCAATCAGACGAAGTATGGTGTGACCTCGATCTAGTCGCCTGTCGGCAACATTGGCAGCAAGCAAGACTGGACTACAACGATCCAGAAGACCATTGTACGGTGGAAGACTTTGTTACCAATAAACAAAGATGGCAGGACACTATGAATTGTCGTGCCCTTCTGTTGTTGCCACCCTCAGAAAACAACTGGGATGACCCGTTGAAAGCTTTTTCGAGGCTGGATAAAATGTCAGGCCGACTATCATACAATTTGATTGGCAAGTCTGGAAGTGCATCCGGAGCACGACCACTCAATCTTCAAGACGACCTTGAGAAGAGCTTATATTTCATCGCGATGCTCTCCTTTGAACGGATTCGGCATTACATGGAACTGGAAGCATATCATTGCTTGGAGCAGGAACTAGTTCCAGGCAGAGTGAATGAAAACATCAGAGTCGTCGCGTGTCTAGGCGTGATGTTACGCTCACTCCGCCGTCGTATTGCAATCTGTAAAGCCACTCGAATATGGATTTATTTTCAAAACGGTCCGCTCGCAAAGTATCTAGGTTCAGGCTCAGAAGCAAGCATTGACCCCCCAGTCATCAGGCAAATGAAAGAATTTTGCTTCCAGTTATATACCCACTTTTTCTGTCGCTTCTCCAAGATGAATCCAGTCTCCAGGGGCAGGGTATCGGATGGGCAAAAACCCATACATCCCTTTACAGGAATGAGAATCATGGAATACCTGCCTACAGACGCAAGTAGACAGGGTTTCACCAACTGGATGGCAGAGGGCGAAGTACCATTCAGGTCACCAGGGTGGTTGTAGGGTGTGTTTACCGAGCAGGCTTTGTAGGCTTCTGGCGGCTATATTTTGACCTTGTCATTGGGTTTGGATTATAAAGCTATTGCATCTGCCGGCTGGCAGTAACAAGGAAGAAAAGGGAAAGACAAATACGGCTCACGCCACGGTATCTGGAATGACATGATAGCTTTATAGATCTAGTGTAACAGTGATGAATTGTGAAGCAGAGATGGGGAATGTTGTACATAAATATTGGAAGCGGATGTAAGGAACAAGACACAGTGTCATAACAGAGTGTTTATTTGGAGAGGGTTCTCGTCCCCCTGTTGCAGTGGCAAACGTACCTCACATTGACAATATGCATACAGAATCAATTCACCCCCATTAAGCATCGTAGGCAAAGAGAGAAGAAGAGCAACTTGATGCACCCAAACAAAACCATTTTTGGATGCCAGACCGAGAAACATGTGGTGTTGTGTCTCCATTCTCCATGCTAGTAGACTTCAAATCTACCGCTTCCACAAACGTACATTAAAACAAAACTCGAGGGTCTCCCTCTGCGAAATATGCAGTTGCCCTGCCCCTAATCACATCCCTTGGCAGTTCCCATCTCTGCCTGCATCACCTTCGGACTCCCTTACTCCTTCATGCATTTTGTCATGACCGGTAACGAGGTGTTTCGCCAAAAGCTGATTGTTGGCGGTATTGTGTAGGTTTATAATAAATTGAGTTCCTTTCTTTTCTTCGTCCACTGTTTCGCCACTCCTAAATGTTCTTCGCCGTGTTGTTACAAATTACGCAGCTTGCTGCATGGTCTCTCTGATCGTCTTGGCGGTGCCGGCGAGATCGGTAATCTTGGCCTTGGGGTTCTTGCCGTGATAGTCGGCGATGGCAGCCTTGATGGCGTCTTCTGCGAGCATGGAGCAGTGAACTGAGAGAGGGTTAGATTTGTGGATTTCTTTTACCAGGACTTTGATACAGCTGCGCTGGAGGTACGTACGCTTGACGGGTGGCAGGCAGAGCTCCTTTGATATGTCGACATTACGAATCTTGGATGCATCCTCCACTGAATCATCGGTTTGTTAGCAATCTGCAGCTTCGGCCATTTTGAGATTATCGAGCGAGGGAGGGTCATAGACTAGTGCATTGCAAAATTGGATATAACTCACATCGCATCCCCTTGACCAACTCGGTCAGATAACTCGAGCTTGCGATTGCGGAACCGCATCCAAACGTCTTGAATTTGGCATCAGTAATGGTGCCCGTGGCCTCATCAACTCGAATCTGCAGCTTCATAACGTCGCCGCATGCCGGGGCGCCAACGAGCCCAGTGCCGACAGCGGGATCCTTCTTGTCCATGGAGCCCGGGTTCCGGGGTCGGCTGTAGTGGTCCAGCAGTGAAACCGAGCATGTTAGCTGAATGTGCGCGAAAAGGGGCGTGAGAGACTGCGAAGAAGAACAAAGTCCCTCGATGCGATGCTGCATTCAGAGATGACCACTTATCTTTATCGTGGTAGAATCGGCGCCCGGCCAGCTGAGGCGTTGCCGCAACGGCGGCGGTGGGAGAGGGCAGAGCCCGGATTGTACGGAAGGGCGCTCTTAATGAAAACATTTTGATTGCGATGTGTATGTGCGATGCGTCCGACTGCGATGAGCGATGGCGCAACAGGTGGGTTGTCGTGGTTGGGAGGTCGAGGTCGAAAATGTGAGGACAAGAGATTAAATGGAGATTTGGAAGGTGGCGACGGCGGACGGAGCAGAGAGATGCTGGGGGTGTATGCTTGGCTGTGCTTGTGTGTGGCAGAGTAGCACTGAGAGCACTCAGCGAGATTGATAAAAAACGCCGAACATGTCCGGACACCGGCGCTCGTCATACACCACGGACCAATCAGGGCGCAAGGAAAACTAAAGAGCCGACGCTGCGTAAAGCGCAGGTCAAAAATGGTTTGTGTCATACGGTAGATCCAGCACTGTGTGACTACGGTGCAACCGCGTGGCAAAACACAGTATGGATATGACGAAGATTTGCGGAACAAGAAAGCGCTGGAGATTATCTTGTCCGGGGGTGGCAAGGAGCCAACGTCCAGAACCAATAGCAAGGTCGAGTGTGAGGGCGAGGGCCCAGCAAGTATTTGGAAGGCAGTAAGTTACTCCGTGCGTAAACAGCTTCCTACGTCTCGTATGTACGAACCAGTGTCCGATTCGGCCAAACAACGGGCTGTCGATTTGCCCGCCCCACCTGGTCAGATGCTTGTGCAGTTGATGGATCAGCAGTGAGCACTAAGGGATTGAAGCCTTGGAGCCTTGCGGCCGTTATTTGCACGCTCAAACAAGTGAGCTGTACACAGGACTTACGGAGTAGGCTGGTGGCAAGACCTGAACGGTGTTGATCGGCTCCAAGTACCACGGTTATCTGCGGGCCAGGTCACCGGCCTACCCTTGACTTTGGTTGGGAACGGGTTTGCGGCTGGCTCGGAGCCATGGCAAATGCGAGACGGCATACGGAGTAGCGATTTTGCAATTGCCTTTGCCATTTATCTGTTGCGATTTGTCTTCTTTATGCAAGTGTTCGGGTCCTGTTTTGCAACGGATGGCATTTTATTAGAGCAGAGGTTAATATCAGTGATATAAGCGGCGGGACCAGGAGGGGACAAAAACAGGAACTTGATGGCACAGCGTTAATAGAGAATGTGCCACCATGCACGAACGCTGAACATCAATGTTGAACAAGCCGTGCATGGAAGGGGTTGTGACTGCTCGTCCTCATCCTCAGTCCTCTCACGACGAGGGAGCGCGCATTAGCTTTTATGGGTCCTGCCCCTTGTACTCCGCACTCCGTGGTCCGTAGCCAGGTACCTCTGTCGCATCGGGAAAGCCAATAACGCCACATCACCTATTGAGACCCCGAACAGGACGCGCAACCGCCGGCCTCGGTCTCGTGCTACCAGTGCTGGCCTCAATCGAATAAGATCCAAACAAACATTTACATCCCAAACCAAAGTCCACATCTAGCTTGCGCTATTGCCATAGTTGTGCTGTTGTGCTGCTACGTGGGGAACACCATGGTGCCATTGCCATTGTGAACAACGTCCCAAAAGCAACGGCCAATTTACGCCTCCATCCATCCCGCGAACCCCAGTTCTCGCTCCATAGACGGCCATCGCAGCGAGCTGCAGCAGGCTAGAAGCTACCGGGCACGAAACGGCGTGCTATTGCCATTGCTGCCGTCGCTGTAGTCGGCAATCAGTCATGGCGCCGCCCTTCACAGACGACCCAGAGAGTCAACGGCCGTCGACGTCGCGCTTGTCCCAAGACTCACTCTCCTCCGTATCAACCACGAGCCTCGTCTTCGATCGAATCCAAGAAGAGATGGACAGGGACCCTTCTTCTAGCCGATCTGCTAGACGGGACTTGTTGTCGGCAACGAAAGATGAAGGCGACTACGAGGACGCCTCCGAGACGGGTGCTTTCCTCGGGCAACCAGGCGTCCCATTGCAACGCCAGCCCATGGATAGAGGTTTTCGGCGAATATTAATCATAATTGGTGCTGTCTTTGTTGGAGCTTGGCTTGCCGGACTGGGAGTCTTTGTACTGTCCGGCTCCTATAGACACGAGAGCGACTCAGAACATGACCCCGATGCCATCTCAAGAGGATCCGGCAAAGCCGTCACCATGGACCAAGTGTTTGGGGGGTTCTGGTCTGCCAAATCCCGTAGCATCAGCTGGATAGCGGATCCTGATGGCGGCGATGGCCTCTTGCTCGAAGTTGGTACCGCAAATGGTTACTTGGTTGTAGAGGATGTGCGTGCTGACAAGCAAGGCACTGATACCACCTCCCGTCAAACCGCCGACACTCAGCCTGCCAAGCCGCGAGTATTGATGAAGGACCCTTATTTCATGTATAATGGAGAAATCAAGCGGCCTGAGTGGAACGAGCCAAGCCCGGACTTGAAAAAGGTTCTGTTGGCTGTCAACCTCGAAAAGAATTGGCGCCACTCCTTCCAGGCAACCTATTTCATTCTCCACGTCGAAACTGCCCAAATTCAGCCTCTTGTGCCGGACAATGTCAACGCCAAGGTTCAGCTGGCTAATTGGAGTCCCAAGAGTGATGCCATATCATTCACTATGGACAACAACATCTACATCCGTCGACTGAACCAGGCCAATGACGTGGTGCAAATTACCAAGGACGGAGGGCCAGAGTACTTCTATGGTATCCCCGACTGGGTCTACGAAGAAGAAGTCCTCGCCGGCCGCTCAGCAACCTGGTGGTCCGACGATGGCAACTACCTTGCATTTTTGCGAACCAACGAGACGGCTGTGCCCGAATATGCGATTGAGTACTATATCCAGCGTCCGTCGGGCAAGAAACCCGCCGTGGGCGAGGAGGCATACCCCGAGATTCGCAAGATCAAGTACCCTAAGCCAGGAGCGCACAATCCCGTTGTCGACGTCCAGTACTATGATGTTTCAAAAGGCGATGTTTTCTCCATCTCCGCCCCCGACGAATTTCCCGACAAAGACCGCATCATCTCCAATGTCCTCTGGGCCGGCAACAAAGTCCTGCTCAAGCAGTCCAATCGCGTTGGTGACTTCCTCAAAGTCATCCTCGTCGACCCCTCGGAGCGCAAAGCCAAAATTGTCAATAGCATCAACATTGCCGAAATCGATGGCGGATGGTTCGAAATCTCGCACACAATGACATATATCCCTGCCGATCCCAGCAAGGGCCGCCAACAGGACGGTTACGTAGATACAGTCATTCACGAGGGCTACGAGCACATCGGCTACTTCACGCCCATCGACAACCCCAAGCCAATCATGCTCACGTCCGGCTCGTGGGAAGTCGAAGATGCCCCGTCGGCAGTTGACCTGGACAACAACCTCGTCTATTTTGTCGCCACCAAGGAATCCTCCATCCAGCGCCACGTCTACTCAGTCAAACTCGACGGCTCCAACTTGACACCCCTCACCAATACTTCCTCCGAAGGCTACTACGCTGTGTCCTTCTCCTCACGCTCCGGCTTCGCCCTCCTCTCGTACCAAGGCCCCAAAATCCCATACCAAAAGGTCATTTCCACACCTTCCATTCCCATTGAATTCTCCCGCACCATCGAGGACAACGCGGGTCTCGCAGACAAGGCGAAAAAACACGAACTCCCCATCCTCAAATACGGCACCCTCCAGTTGCCCAACGGCATATCCGTAAACTACCTCGAGCGCCGGCCGCCACATTTCAACCCCAAGAAGAAGTACCCTATTCTCTTTCAGCAATACTCGGGTCCGAAGTCCCAGACCGTCACCAAGAAGTTCGCCGTCAACTTCCAGTCCTACGTCGCCTCGTCCCTAGGCTACCTCGTCGTGACCATCGACCCCCGCGGCACCGGCTTTCTTGGCCGCCAGCACCGTGTCGTTGTCCGCTCGCAGCTCGGCGTCCTTGAGGCCCAAGACCACATCGCCGCCGCGAAGCATTACTCGTCCCTCCCCTACGTCGACCCTTCCCGCCTCGCAATATGGGGATGGTCCTACGGCGGCTTCCAGACCCTCAAGACGCTCGAGGTCGACGCCGGAGACACGTTCTCCTACGGAATGGCCGTGGCCCCCGTCACCGACTGGCGCTTCTACGATAGCATCTACACGGAGCGGTACATGCGTCTCCCGCAGGACAACGCCGCCGGCTACGACGCGTCAGCCGTCCACAACGCCACTGCTCTCGGCATGAGCAAGCGCTTCCTCATCATGCACGGCTCCGCAGACGACAATGTCCACTTCCAGAACTCCCTCAAACTACTGGATTACTTGGATCTAGCACGCATCGAGAACTACGACGTGCACGTGTTCCCAGACAGCGATCACGGCATTGCATTCCACGGCGCCAACAGGATGGTGTACGATAGTAAGTCCGAATTCTCCGTGTTATTCAGTTGGATATTGAGCCCCATGCTAACCTTGTCAGGACTAAACAATTGGCTCGTCAATGCATTCAATGGCGAGTGGCTCAAGATAGCGGACCCAAAGCCCATTGACACCAAGAAGAGGCGGCATGTATCATAATTTTCCACTGACATTGGGATGTTTAGAGCGCGCAAGCCAAGTAGGCGTGAATTCAAGTGTATGTTTACCGCTAGCCGGCGTTGGGTTATGAAGTACTTGGTGTAGAAGCGCGATTGCCTACAAGGTAGTTACAATGACAACATGCGGATATATCTGATGTATATATGTCCTTCTATGTGGATAGTACAGATGAGCAACTGAGTTCACAGATAATGCAACTATATGAGTGCAACTTTGACAACAGAAATGCAAATTGATTACTATCATACAACATACAGTAGCTTCGGATTTACTCCCAAGCCTTCATCTAACTCCAAATGTCTGGCTCCAGTCTAGCTGTAGCAAAACTAATTACTAATCATGCCAGATTTGAAGCTCGCCCTTTTGCCGCCTTGTGCCTCTTTAAAAAGAAATATCAAAAGCCAAAATAAAAGACCAGCCAGGGTAGCCTCCTGATGTATCTGGCCCTGTCACTTTTCTTTTTTCCCCTCTAGGCACTGCGTTGTATATGAACGATTACGGTTTCGCGAATTCAATAACATCCCTGAATCACCCTCCTCTACCGAGGGTGTTCCACTGGAACCTGCGTAGCATCCTTCTTCATGCTATAATATGCGCACATATTAGAAACTTGACATGCGTGGCAAGGTGGACGCAGGAAACCAGGCCCAGACCGGCACTTGCATCTAGTATCCGTAGCCGGTGGGTTGCGGCGCAAAGCCGTTTGGCTGCTGGTATGGTGCGGGGGAAGGGCTGCCCATGTTGCCGCCAGGTCCAGCGGTGATCATGAGGCGGCCAGCGCCAAGAATGGGCGTGTTATCTTCAGTCTTCTCTTGTTCCTTCTCCTTGGCCTTGCGAGCCTCATTGTCAGCCTTTAATAACGCAATCTCTTTAGTCTGTTGAGCCAACAAGTTGATCATATATGGCATGGTGAAGTCATGAAGGCCGTGGCGCCATGACAGCTCCAATACAAGATCAGGTCGAATGAGTTCATTACAAGCATAGAGCATGCCTGTGTAGCACTCGCGGTGACCAATGTCGACAAACTAGGAGTGAATTAGTGAATAATTCTGCAAATTAGAAGGTATGGGGGCGCCTAGAACTTACGTATCGCAAAAGATCGTTAACAATATCCTCCTTGCCAGAAATAGCAGCAGTCTCGATAGCATCCTTGAAAAGCTTGTCCTGCTTAGACAAGGCAATAGACTTCTCCCAGCGCTTGTTCTTGCGGTAAACATTGGCGGCGATCTGACGGAAGAAGATGAGGTCGTGCTTCTCAAGACGGCCAGCCAGCTCGACAGCATCGTAGTTGTCGTAGTTCTGTACCGAGTCTCTCAGAGTCTTGTAGTCCTCTTCCTCGATGAGTAGGTCATTCACAGCCTCATTGACGGTGCGTTTGTTCTGTGACTGGACGTTGAGCAAAAATGGCTTGATCAGAGGCAGACTGTCGTTCTTCTGGAATATCTTGACGACGCGGTTGACGTCGATACGAGCAGTCAAGGCAGCCAGGAGGTCGGTCAGCAATGAAGGATGTTGCTCTACGTAAAACTTGATAGCCCGGTAGTAGATTTCGAGATTGTTCACCTTGACTACGATCTCCTTGAACTGCTGGTGGTCCCAAGAGTTCTCGGGTCGCTCAATAACAGCCAAGGCGGCGTTGTCGAACTCGTCGTAGTGATAGTAGCAAAAAACCAGCTCAGGCCACAAGTTGGCTTCCTCACACGCTCGGATCATCTTGGGCATGTTCATTCTTGACCAGAAGATCTTGATGTGCTCCATCAGACGTTCCGGGTGGTACTTGGACAGAGCAATGCCAAGTTCTGTAAACATGCCCATGTGAGCACGCTCAAGGCCAAGACCTTGCTCAAGAAGGCTGATGAGTTCATCGAAGTAGCCATTGCGCTCATACTCCTTCACGAGAGTCTGTAACTGTTCAGCATCCACAATCAAGTTGAGACCACAAATTTGGGCGAGGCGGAATTCCTTCTTCTGAACGCATGCCTCATGCACCTGCTTCCAGACCTTGATGTTGTTAGCCTTACGAGCGCAGTCCACAGCGGCCTGATAGTCTCCAAGGTGGACGAGAGTGGTCGCAAGCTTGGCCCAGTTGGAGATACTGCTGTAAAAGATCTTGGAGGCCTCAAACAAACCCTCCTCGTATGCCTTATCACCAGACTCCTCGATGTTGGCAACATTGGTGGCCCGGAGGAAGTCTTCAAGCTCGGAGAGCTGATCAAGACGAGCATAGCAGAAAGCAAGAGCGGTGTCAATGGCAGGTTCTCGAAGAGTCTTGCGCGCCATGCGGAGATACTTGACAAGTTCCTCGTTTTTGCCAGCGTGGGTGGCGATTTCAATGACTTCAGCATGGTTTCTGGGGTCGTCAGCCTTGATGTAAGACTCGATAGCATCGGGTACACGGAGTCCATCAAGCTGAGCCTTGGCAACCTTGCTCCAGACCTCGGGAATGTCAACTTCCTCAGCGTAAGCCTGGGATCGGTCGATGCTGACAACATGTTCAACGAGAACATCGACAGCAGCAGACTTGTTGTCGGCCTTTTTGTAAATCTCAAAGGCTTCTTCGAACAGACCGACATCGATACACGACGCGGCAATGTCGTCGGCATTGTAACTGTCAAGTTTGTGAATGTAGTCCATAACACGACCTTTGTCAGCTTTGGCAGCGGTGAACAGAAGGAGGTTCTGCAGGTTCTGGTTGTCGCTGAAGGGAGATGGTTCAAGCACAATCTTCTCAAGAAGCTCAATGAGCTCAAGCGGAAGGTCGTTCTCAAGGAAGGAGGCGACAGCAACAGACACCTTGGCAGGATCTGTCGACTCGGGAACAGCAGTGGCAGTGACCTGATCAACGACAGACCGACGGTGGATGTTGTTCTCGCTGAGGACAAAGTTCCACAGCTCGCTATCTGATCGTTCCAAGAGGTAGCGGGCTTGGGCACGGTACATGGAGTTCTCGTTGGTGATGTTGACCAATTCTAGATCATTTTGACCCTTGGAGTAGGCAATGTATGCCAAGTTGGGGTCGCGCTTCTCGCAGTATTTACCAACTGTGAGTGTATCGTATTGGTCGTTCTCCTTGAGGAACTTCTCGGGGTTGTTGTTCGAGTCAATATAAATCTTAGCCAGGGCATTATAGACAGCCTGCTGCTGGTTACCAGTCTGGAGGGTAGCCTCAAGGAAGGGCAAAAGGAGCTTCAATCGGTTGCGCGACTCTACTTCAGACACTAGCTCATCAATATTGATCTGCTGAGCATTGACGGTGCCGAGTAGCTGCTTAATAATATTCTCATCACAATCGACGTCGAGCAGACCACCAACTACGGCGGGAGTTCTGCTGGGGTTAACACGCTGGACATAGGATTCAATGGCCTGGAACTGCTGGTTCTGATACAGATATAGAATTAAATCGTGGACGAAGTTGAAACGGTCGCAAACAATGATGAGGGGAAGCTGTTCTGGCAGTCTGGCTTCCTTCAAAAAGTTTTTGACCTTTTCAGGGTTGTAGTAATTGCTGTCACGACAAATTCGCTCAACCTCATTCAACTGGTTGGACTTTGTTGCGGCCTCGATGTACTTGAAGTGGACATCGGGGTCCTCGGAGAGATTGACAATGCTGCCAAGGTAGTAGAAGAGACCCTCTGCAGTCTTGTACTTCTCGAACAAGTCAATCAGGCGAACAGGACCAAGAAGCTCAGAGTACTTGGTTGCAATGTTGACAACAGACTGAAGATTCTGGCGAATGTTGTGTTTCATCATAGCATCGAGACAGTCAAGCGATTGCTCAACAGAAAGCTTGCTAAAGAAGTTGCTAAACCATTCGGGATTAAAGTTGGTGGTGCCGGGAATGTTGACAATGACGCGCTTGATAGCCTCGGGGTCCTCATACAGCTCGAGTGCCTTTTGAGGGAGACCGGCCTGCTCGCAGAGGTTGGCGATGCGGCCCTTGTCAAAATGAGTGAACATATCGTTGCCGAGGATAGCCTCGGCAACTTGGGGGGCATTCATCAAGTTCATCTCCAAGAGTCTGGTCTGGAGGCGAGCATGCTCAGGCTTGTTGTCCTTCAAAGCATCCAGAAGGAAGGCCGTGGCCTGTTGGATCATGCCCTGGCCCTGGAAGATGTCGCAAACACGCTCCAAGTCAACCAACGAGCCTTGCTCATTGTTTGCCAGAGCGGTAGCAAATTCAGCGCCCTTCTCAGGATTGCTGCGGATGATGTGCTGCAAGAGCTGGATGTAGTCGGGCTGGTAGCCAGTTTGAGCGGTATAAGGCAGAATCTTGTCGAACTGGCCGGTTTCTGCAAAGCCGGCGACCACTTTGTGAGGCACGTTCGCCTTGAGGTAGACAGTCAATGCCATATTGACATCGTAAGGTCGAACCATATCGCCGAGTTGTTCGGAGCAGTCCAGCTTGCCTTCCTTGAGCCACTTTTCGAGTAAGTGTTTTCGGTTCTGTTGCAGAACAGGCTGGGCGAGCTCAAGGGTTTCATGTCTGTTCAGGCCACCCTTGTCGAGAAGCATACCAAAGTACTGGAGAGTGAATGCCATCTGGCCAGGCTGGGCGGGGAGCCGCTTGAACTTCTCAATCGTCTCGGGGGTGCGGAGGAAGCCACGTGGGGAGTTGGCGGCAATCTTGGCAGCCTCCAGGTAACTTCCAGAGTTGAACAGCTGGTCGAACTGCCTGGCATAAAGGTTGTCCGCGCCAGGCAGTCCAGCCCGTGAGGCCAGTTTGATGGCAATCTCAGTATTGGCGGGGTTCTCGAGAAGGTAAGGGATGACTGTGGTTTCATCAACGGTGACGAAAAGGACCTGGCCCTTACGATTGATGCCCACAAGACCGGATGACTCGTCGTCGGCGCAGCTAGTGAAGATTGTGTCGCTGGAAATTCGGTTCATGAAGATCAAAGTACCGGTCTCAAGGTCGTACAAATGTATGAAGCCATACTTGGTGACCATGAAGATGACACCGTATTTCTGAGAAATCTGCAGGGCCACAGGGAAGTCATTGGTTGCCTCGGGAGGGAAGAAGATCTCAACAGCCTTCTTCTGAAAGACTGGGTTGGATTCGGCATGATCGACCTCGACAACGTGCAACTTGGCACCGGTGGCGGTCCGAACGGCGAAACTGAAGAGCTTTGTGTCTTGAGGAGCGCCTTCAAGGCGTAGTGACCCGAATGATGCGGCATGACCCTCAATGGCCTGGCTGATGCCACGATCCTTGGAGTACAGCTGCATGGCACCGACAACACGGCCCTGCTGGGATGAAATACCGACCACCACCATCCATTTGCCGTCCTCGTTAGCACGGTAATTGATGATTTGGCAGCCCTATTGCGCAAGTATTAGTTCAATTTGTACTGTCTAGTCAGGAAATCGCTTCGTGCAACGAACATTAAGGTTGGCGTTTCGCTCAAAGACCTTGGAAGGCGCATCTTGTGCGGCGTCGTAGACGTCCCAATGGTAAACACTGGTGGTCGTGACGAGACCCAGAGTAGACTCGCTGATCCACTTCCAAAACTGCACATCCTCGTTCATGGTGCATGACTTTAATTTTTTCTTTTGCTCCAAGTCAAAAATCTGCAACGTCCGTGATTGGGCCCTCAAGGCGATGATCTGTCTATTCCAGTGCATGATGGCACTGTCGGCCTTGATCGGCCTTCGCGTCACGTTGTTGCCATTTTTGAGCTCAACAATAACGACCTCTGACTGAGCGGACTCGGTCTTCTTCTCACGGATACACACATATGAATCGGATTCGAGTGTCTAAGACCAAGGCCGAGGTTTTGTTAGCCGCTGATGCCATGTTTGCTCTCGGTGTTTTGCTGCTGGCCAGTGTAGACAGATGCAGGTCGGTGGTACTTACGCAGGAGTTGAAGCCGATTGATTGCGTGTCCACTCCAACGTTGGCGAGTTGGACCAACTCCTGAAACTTGATGGGCAGAGGCGCCATTGCGCCTTAGTTCAGCTTTTACGTCACGTTGAACCAAGCCGGATATGAAATTCGGAGCCTCAAGCTATGGATGCGAGTAATCTCTGTCGCAAATCCACTGTTTCGTGGCCGATGTCCCGATAATGCTGTCAATGTGGGCTCAACAACGACCTCAGGAGAAGTTGACGGAAGCTTCCATGCGCCAAATGGCAAGAGCAGAAAAGCAGTTGCAGGACGAGACAAGGCAAGCAAAAAGAATTCAACGAGTAAAGGATCGGTAGAAGCAGGAAAGAGAGCGGGTGGTAGTCGCGTCCGTGAACTGCTGGTGGCAAGCAGATGGACTCGTAGAGGGAGATAAAGCGGTGATGATTTCGTCGTTTAGAGATGGTAAAGGAGGCAAATGTCAGTCCCCGGTTTGGACCATCTGTTCTTCAGAACATGGGGCAGGTCAAACAGGTCAAAACAGCAGGCATGTGGGGGCGTAGGTTTGGGCCCAGCCAATTGGGGGTCGCAGGAACAAAGAAATTCCGATCCAGAAGCGCACTGGAAGCCAATAGCTTCTAGCAAATGCACTGCTAAATGCTCCAAATGTCCCATCAGGCACGTGCAAGCTTCAATTTCGGAGGTTACAAAGCTTTCTATGTGTGCCTGGGCATGTTGTCGTGCGATGCTCTCACTCACCAATTGCACACCAAATATTGCTGTCGCACCGGCTTCATCTTCAATGAATCTGTCTTCCCCTCTTTTGCCCGCACCCAAGAGCTATCGGGCGCTGTCACTGCTGCCTAACAGATCTGATTGCTTCCCTCAGCTCTGCTCGGAGTGGAGACGTCATGAACACTTGATGATCCTCGCTTTCAAAGTTGTGGGCACCGTCAGAAACCAACGAGTTGACTCGGCCTGTTGTCGTCTGGCCCAGGAGAAGTTTAGATATCGTTGAACGTGGCAGGAGTCCAGCTTCCGTTATACATGTATTCGCAAGCTACTCCGTGGAAAAATGTTGGTGTCTGTTATTGCAGGTTCAGTCTAACAGTCAGAGGTTGCCTCGATGACAGGAAGTGTCCAGCATCTGCCACTGCATTTGCTAACCCTCGCAGGTAGAGGCAGCCTGGAGTTGCGAACAGCTCAGAGCATAACAATGGCAAGATTGTTTTGGAGTCTACGTGGATATACATATATCAAAGAAAGTTCTCGGGCCAATCGTAGATTAAACAGACTCGTATCTACGGAGTATGTTATCTAAGAATATGTCTTGACCATCTTCAGCAAGGCTTCATCAACTTCCTTGGGACTGGTGGCATTCAAGTAATGACCACCGCCCTCAACAAAAGTCAACGTCGCCTCTGGCGCACTCGTAAACAGCTTAATATGCTCCTTGGGCACGACAGTACCAAACACCGGATCCTGGGCACCCTACGCGTCACTCGGCGTCAGCGGACAAGCATAAACGTCCAAAGATTCGAGATGAATCATTAAAACATACCTGGAGCCAGTGGACCGGACACTTGACATCCCGCAGTCGGAAGAGCAAGCCATCTCTCTCCATCAGACACGCCAAGGCCATGCGCAACTTCCTGCGACCCTCATCCCCAGAGTAGACCTTCTTCAGAGTTTCGTCCCAGAACGATAACGTCTCTGGCGGAACAGTTCCGGAGAAGCCCAGCTGGGCAACCATGCCACGCCACACTTCATCCACGACAAAGTCAGGAGTAGGCGTGGCACTGCACCAGCTATCATAGAAGGGAAGAAGCTGGGTCTGGGGGTCCCAGCAGCCCTTCTCTCGGGAAGCAGCTGATTCGGAGCCCATCGAAGTGCCGAGGGGAAGCAACCCGAGGATCTAGGAAGAGTTTAATAACTTGACTGTCACATCTTGGCTGCATGCTGTGTCTTTCTTTGGTTCTGGGGACAAGCAATGAAACGCTGGCAAACGAATAAAGCGGACCTTGGGCGTGGGGAGACGAAAACATACCCTGTCCGGCGCTAGGAGGGCCATGCGAACGACCACCCATCCGCCCTGGCTTGTTCCGACGGCGAATGCTTTGTCGACTTTGAGGGCGTCCATGACCTGCAGGGCCATGGTGGCCGTGTCCCAGTATGTGAATTGCTCCGAGGCAGATCGTGTGGCGCCATGGCCGAGGGGCTCAATGGCAAGCAGGTTGACGGCATCCGTCAGCGTCTCGTTTTCAAACTGGACATTGTAAAGAGAGCACGTTGTGCACATGGAGTTGATGAGCACAACGGTCGGCTTGGTGGCATCGAGGGCTCCGTTGGAGAGTCGATATCCAGCGTCGATGCCCCCGAGATGTGGGACCTTGATGGTTGTAGTTGCCGCCATGGCGGATGCAGGAGAATGCGACAAAAGAGAAAGAGAAAAGACGGGAGGTTTCGTTGGGGACAGGAACGCACCCAAGGGGCAGGGCTTCGTTCTTAATATGAAACCAGCACCTCTTTACCAAATCCGGTGACGCTAAATGTACATGACAGAAAACGTGGCTAGGCCTGGTGATTTTATCCAGCGGCGGTAATAAGCATCTCGTGGCACCCCGCGCCAATGTGGTTTTGTTGGCCGATCGACTATCTGTTCAATAAGAGTTGTTGAAGCCCGTGGCCGTTACCGGGTCTCTTGCAGGGTCTGAACCAAGGCAGGCTTCGGACCACACTTCCTGTCTTGTACATATTGTAGTGTGATAGACGGGCAAGTCATCAACCCTGGCACAGTGCCAAGTGCGTTCTTTGTTCTACGTGGTTGCCACCAGATCAAGGGGGTTTGTTTTAGCCTATTGCCTCGTAACTCGAAACAGCCTCTGGAGGCAAGCCATGACTAGTGGTGTTGCCACAACTCCACTTGTTGCGCACATACTGTAATTTTTTTCCCTCATCCCAAGAACGGGAGCGGACGGCACGCACCGCTAGCGGCACTGGAGAAGAAATTGAGTTGGCCGTTTCAAGTTGGCAGCTAACTTCCGGCGCAGTGTGCTGCATCTTGGCAACCAAAGTGTGTCACGGTTGGGGATTATATTACCGCCATACGGGTCTTGTACCACCTTGGACAACTGGATAGGCAGACAAGATATTAGCATGGACTCGAGTTGGCTGAGCCGAACCCTGGTAACTATATATCACCAAAAGCGGATACAACTTTCAACATGCCACGAACAAGCTGTCCATCATGCTTGGCCCGCTACCTCAACTTGGCCAGACAAAAATGATGAGTCAAGCCGCGTAATATGGGTCTACCGAGTTTCCATGGTATTGATAGGTGACGATCCCATAGCCACCAGTGGGCTAAAAGTGCTCTAGTGTGTCGTTCAGGGGAGGACCGGAACGGATCCAAGTGCCGTTTGACAGGCAAAAATATTATCCCTACAACGGGGAGTCTCCCGTACCTTGTGAAGGGGAAGGGACAGAAAAAGGCCATGTGGTTCTTAAGCTAAAGCTGGGGCTATATTACAGTTTCATTTGTTCTAGTACCATGGTTGCATTCTCAAGATAACATCACATTCTGGTGTTGGGTACCCTTGGGTGGCAACTGATGGCATCTGACGACTCCGAGTCCAAGCTACCTGGACTCCCAGGCTACGATGCACAAAATCTGCAGCCATGGGCTGTGCAAGTCGTTGTTTCTGTGACGGCCCTGGCGCTGGTGACCGTCGGGCTGCGTCTTCTCAGTCGTCGCATCAAACACCAGCAACTATGGCTGGATGACAAGATGATCATGTTCTCCATGGTGAGCCCTCAAACAACGTTCTGGCCGAGACATTTCATTGCCCAACGTGTACGGCTGACTTTGGTATAACCCCCCCTTTAGGGCTGGAACCTGGTTGTCGTAGGCTTCATCTTTGCCATGTATTCGTCCGGGATGGGCCTCCATGCAGACCAAGTCGACCCGGCCGACATCGTCATGGTGGCCAAGTGGTTGGTCGTGGCCGAGGTGCTCTATGCGTGGAATCTAGGATGGACCAAGATGAGCGTGCTGCTGATGTACTATCGCATCTTCCGCCTGCCATACTTCAAGAAGATGGCCTGGGTCGTCGGGGCTTTTGTATGGGCCTGGGTCGTTTGCATCACCTTCTTATTCATCTTCATCTGCACACCGGTTCAGAAGCTGTGGTATCCGCAGATTCCCGGAAGATGCATAAGCCAAGTCGGCACCTGGATATCCAACGCCGCCTCCACCATCTTCACCGACCTCGTCATCCTAATGATGCCCATTCCCCAGATATGGAAACTCCAGCTGCGGAGAACCGAGAAAATTGGTCTCACACTCGCGTTCAGCCTTGGGTTCTTGTAAGCTCCGCCCCGGACCTCATCACCGCTCCGCCGCGCTCTGTCGAGAGGGCTGTTAGCATTCTGACGTGATTTGTTTCATTTCGCAGTGTCGTATTTGCGTCGGCCTACCGCACAAGCGTCCTCTTCACGTACACGGCCAAGGACCCGACATACACTCTCACCCCCACCGTCGGATGGACGGCCATCGAAATGTCGGCGGGCATCGTGTCGGCATGCCTGCCTACCCTTCTCCCAATTGTGCTTTGCTGCGCGCGAGCGTTCGGCCTGACACGAACGGCGAGTGTGCTCAGCAGGGACATCAACGCTCAGCCGACATTCGGTGGTTCCCGCGGCAACAGGTCCAAGTTGAAGAGCGGACCGAATACACTGACCAACTTTAGCACCCGAGACGGAGATGACGATGGCCACAAAGGCGAGGACAACCCCTTCTACGGCCTGCCGAGAAATGCGGAGTCGGAAAGCGTCATCTCGCACCCCACGGACTCGAGAAGCGAAACCCCAGAGGCAGCGACGTTGGAGCCGAGCCTCCGCCCAGACACCAAGGGCTATGGGCATTCTGTGAAAAGTTACACGGGAAAGGGCACCGGAAGCCACGATGACGACATCCCCTTAAAGGGGATCCGGGTGCAGACAGACTTTACCAGCACAACGTCGCGGAGACACTGATTTTGCTTTAAAGGAAGTGTTGATGGCTGGGTATATACGAATCGGGTCAGGTTTATTTATTGCTAGACTGTATTTTTATTGTTCTGGGCAATGACCTTGGCTTGACGAGTCTTATGATGGCCGTTGATTTCTTATTGCAAGATGTATGGTAGGTAGCAGACAAGCATTTAACTAAAAGGGGTACTCGGCTGCCACACTACATCATGATATATTGTAGTATGCTCGTGTATATTTGCCTTTGGTCCAATAAATGTTGACTGTAACCAAAAGCAAGTACCAAACTCAACCATATACCTAGCTATCGCGCTCTATATTGTAACTTATTACAGTATATCAATGTATACTCCTTGGGCAAATTCTGCCCGACTATATACTAAAGTTTAGACGTACATCTACTCTATAATTACAAGCCAGGTCCCCATATTTGTCAGTCTTGCATCTCCGTCTTCCAAATCCCACGACGAACCGCCTCCACTCATCTTCCTCCCCATTGCGTCAAGCCGAACCACGGATCCAACTAGTTACCCCTACGGTACAGCCCCCAGAAGCTCTTCATGCGGTCGACTTGACCGACAGTAAACTCCAGCATACAAACACTACACCCCGTCAGCCCCACATCTATCAAATCGCGACGGCTCAAGAACCAAAACTCACTCAACTCCGTAGTCCATGTAGTTATGGATCGGGTCCAGGCCAGGTTGCTCAGGACAGGTATCCACGCTTGCCGACGGGACATCCCCAAGTCGGATAGCCCTGGGCAGGAGCGTCGTCCACGTAGTCGCCTGCGCCGTAGCAGCCGTCCTGGAAGGTGTGAAGCAGCCCGAACCAATGGCCGACCTCGTGGATGGTGGTCTTGCCGGTGTCATACTCCCGGAAGGCGCCGCCGGGCAACGTGTCAACGCCGACGACGCACCCGTCGTTGTTGAAAGGGCGGGAACCCCCGGGGGCCCGTTGGGAAAACGTGCAGTAGCCCACGACGCCGAAGCGGCCCATGGGCTGCTTGGAGAAGAAGAGGTTGAGGTCCCTGTGGCGGCCCCCGCGGAGCTGCTTCTTCATCGCCTCTTCCTCGACGCCGCTGGACCAGGCGGCGTTGATGGTGTGGTCAAGGGATTCGAGCACGAACCTGACGCCGGTGCTGGCGAAGCCCTCGTTCAGGGCGTCCATCTGGTCGTGGATGGCCTTTGGCTACAGGTGGTGAGGGAACCGTTAGCTTCTTGTAGTTGGATGATTAACGAGACGGCGAAAGGTGTGCTCGTCTTTTGTCGTGCAGAGGCACTTACTGAGGCGTAGCCGCTGTCCGCGGTGTTGTTTGCCGCAACAATGTGGACGTAGGTGTCGACTACGATTTCCGCCGAAGCTCTCCTTGCGAGGTGAGGGAGTGTTTTGCGTCGCGCAGCTTGCTGGACGTGTCTAGGAACTCCTTGGGCAGGGCGTTGCCACCAGTTGACATCCGAACTCGACGGGCTCGCTGCTGAGAGGAGTCGCGAGAGCGAGCGCGGCCAAGCTGGCCAGGACGGCGGATTTGAGCATGGTCGACTTGAGCAGAGGTCGGCAAGATTGCTACCAAGGCGCTGCACAGTGATTTACTGCGAGTTTACAAGTTAGTAGCGGGATATCTTTGTTTGCCAAGTATACACTGACATCCTCTAGTTGGTATATTATGGAATAGGTGGTAGCTTACCTGGCCTGGTTGGATACTGTCTCTGACTGTCGTTGGTCAGTATACAGGAGGCAGAAGAGTGTAGAGTAAAGTGTACTAGATGCTACTCGACGAAGAATAGATTGTCTGTGGTAGACACATCTCGAATATGCATCTTTTTACACACGCCAACACACAGAATTTTCTTCGGGATACTCCGTATACATGCAGGGACTCATTGTAACCAGCGGCTTGTCTTTAGCAACACAGCCATCTTGCCCCAATTAGAAGCCAAGGCTCTTTAGAAAGTCGATGCTAGGCGCTCACAGTCACCATGTTGCGCCGTGCTCCCTGACAATCATGTCGAGCACCGGAAACGAGACTCACAACCTATTCCCAGTCTCCTTCAATTTATCGTACGGGCTCCGAAGAAGGAGGCTAGTCCGCCACCGGACCGGGCTTTCATCTTCAATCTTGGCACTACCTTCCTAGTTGAACGCAAACCTTCAAGACCAGCTCACAAGCACAACCAGGCGGTGGTGTGAACGCATCTGTTTGAAGTCCATGCTTGACCCCCCTATTCCTGTTAGTTTGGTGACCGGGACGGAGAACCAGGTGTCACTACAGCTGTTGGATTTGATCAGCGAATCGTGGGGCAAGAGGATGCAGCAACAGCGGCCCTGGCCGAGTATTTCCAAGCTCCAGCTTCCAAGTATTTGGGACGCTCCGTGTTGGCACAGCCTTGCCACCCAACTCGTCCAGAGACACGGTTGGAGAGCGACAGGTCACAGAGCCTGCAAATTTCCCGCGTGGAGAGTCGGATGCCCGTTTCTCCAGGTTCTACACGGGCCGGAGTCAAGTATAATCCATCGGAACATGATTCGTGCAACTCCACAAGCAATTTCCGTGCCATCTTCAAGAGTTGCCAGTTGACGTCGAGCAAAGGAGGTTGTCCACGACAAGTCAGTTTGCTCTGGACACAGCTCTACAAACGATACAAGAAGTTGTTTGATTGGGGCTACAGGATAATTGGGGGTAATAATGTCCGGTATTGGGTCTCGAAAGTTGACGAGCGACCAACGTGGCCAACGCGGTCGACGCACTTATTCTCCGCCACCTTTCTAGAATAAAGGGCGTTGCTGGCTTCTCACAGGCCACCGTGCATGATACCTTCCTTGTACCGAGATTGACTCTAGATGACGAGTGGAGAAACGTCTGTGATTGTGTCTGGTCTTTTACTCGGTGCTTTGGTCAGGGCCGTGTTTCTGGGGAAAGTGGCCCATCAGGTAAATCCTGCCGTTAGTATAATCCGCTTTGAACGGATGGTGACTTATCAAATGCCACGATACATCTGTAGAGCCGGGATGGTCTTGCAAAGCAACCGGTGAAGGCCGCACCGTGACCTGGCGTATGTTCCCGATAGCAACTCTACGTCCTGACCCCTCGACGTCAATACGGACGACTCTGCTACAGCTAAAGTAACTGGCTCGAGAAAGAAGGAAATGATTTATGCAAGCTCCGTAAAAGCCACAGGGTGTAGATCAAAGATTGTCGGGAGTCTCCGGTGCTCGCTACCTGCGTACCACGAGCTTAACCTTATATCCCATACACGTCCCCAGGCAGCATCAATAGACTGGATAGGTAGCTTAAACATCTCGCCAGACTCTGCGATTCAACATCAAACATCTTGTTTACGCTACGCCATGCCCATTTCACCCGTCTTCACTGCCCCAATGCAACTCCACGCCACTGCAATGCACCGTTCGCTTCCACTCACGCCTCAACTCCAATTACGCCATCAGCCAGGCAACTAGGGGTTATATACAGAGGAAGCCAAGAAATTACCCAACCCAACCAGGTACCTGGCGATCGCGCGCCACGCTACGATATACTATAACAATACCATGGTCTATCAGCGTATACGCTTTCAATGAATTGACGCGATTGACCACCTAGCGCTTGGGTCACGGTACCTCCAGAGACTAACCATACGGTCAATCTGGCCAGGCATGAACTCGGTCCAGCAGCGGCTACTCATATATCAGCACAACCCTCGATGTGAAGGAACAGTCAAAGTGGGGGGTAAGGAACGACTTACCCCTGTCTGTAGCTCATAAAGTTGTGCAGGGGATCCAAACCAGGCAACGACGGGCATGTATCAATGTCGGAGCCAGCGGGACACCGATAATCGGACTGAGAGCGAGGCGCGACGTGAGCAGGCGTGTCGTCAACCAGGTCGCCGCCAGAATAAGTCTCGCATTCGCCCTGGAACGTGTGAAACAAGCCGACCTCGTGGAGCGTGACCTTTCCTTGGTTGTTGGCTCCAAGGCTGCCTCCAGGCATGCTGCCGAACTGCATGACGCGGCCGTCTCTGATGAAGCTGTCGGATCCGGGGGTGGCGCCCTGCACAGGGAAGCAGCAGTAGCCTCCATTGTTGGCGCTACCCTGGGGCGCCTTGAGATGGTAAAGGCTCAGGTCCTTGTAGGAGCCCTTCTTCATGGCCACCTCGCTTCTGTCGTTGGCCTAGGCGGCGTTGACGCTCCTGTCAACGCCCTTGAGGGTGACGGAGAAGCCGGTGCCGGACAGGCCCTGGGTAAGCACGTCCATCTGCCTTCGAATGGTGTCGTCCTACGTGTGTAAAGAACACGGCCTGTTAGTTTCATGTTTGGTCAGTTCGTAGTTGGCGCTACTTACAGGCACATTCCCGCCTTGCGGCGTCCCATCTGAGGATACAATGTGGACGTAGGTGTCTACGACAACTTTGGCTTTGGCGACGAGACCCTGTGTAGCAAGCTTCTGCTCCTGGAGACGGAACTCCTTGACGGCGTCGACGAACCCCTCGCTTGGGGGCGGTGTACCGCACACTTCAAGGGGTTTGTCGACTGCGAGCGCCGTGGCCAGCGCAACAAGGCTTGAGATTGCAAGACTGTGAAGCATGTTGAGCAGTAGGGCTACCCGTGATGGCCGCATCGGTGAAAGATGGCTTTTGATATGGGGCGACGGTATCCTAGCAGATGTAACAAGCTAGCAGCTTTGAAGCGAAAGTGTCGGACCGCTGAGTTGGAGGCTGCTCCTTTCTTTAAATGTGGCATATCTCGCCCTTTTATCTTATTGATGAAGCAGCCGGGACAATGACTTGCCATGAAAGGAAACTCGACCTGATATCCACATCTTCTGGATAAATTGACATATTAGGAAGATCCAAGACATTGTCAAACAGCTCCCTCGAGAGCTCCATGCCGACTGCAACAGACCAACGGGTTCCCTCACAGCCTAAAATTATAGATGTCTGATAATACAGTCTATGGCAGGGTATATTTGCCCTAGCAACAAGTATACGCTAGGATACTGTAGCATAATGTATCATAGAGCGTGATAGCAAGGTACCTCGACTGGCTAGATACCTTTTGCCTCCCACTGTACTTCAACATTCGGCTCTAGAGCGCCAAGGATCAACTGCCAATTGTGGGAATAGCAACATCCTATGCCAAAACGTCGACCTTCACGAAGTGGAAAGTCAACAAGTCTTGGTTTTGTATATAGTATCCCGCTAGCCCGGCGCCGGGGATACAAACCAAACCAAGCAAAATCATCCGGGCACTTGGCAATTCAAGGTTATACGGTAACGTTGACACCTGTCAACCAATGGGCGAGATTGCTGCCACCTCCTACATTGGGAGGCATGAGTTGATTGTTAGGTTTGCGGGTGTCCACCCCCGTGGTTTTTTCGTAGATCTGTGCCATGTTGGTTCTTT